CCAATGCTTAAAAACAGGACCCTATTTTTATGATTCTACAGGCCGTCTGTTTGTCACCAGATATCTCATGAACCGTGATAGCTAGAGAGCTCAATAACGCAGTGGTTAGCGCGCTTGATCCGCGATACGATTGTCAAGTAACTTTCGCAATAGCCAGTCACAGGATGGGTGATCAAAAATTTACTATATCGAACTCCTCCGTGCTTTGGAAACCACATTGTGCCGTTGTACCCGGCTGTATTGCAGTCGTTAACACCCACCGATCCGCACTGATCCCGCTTGGCGGGTCATGGCCCAGTCTCCCTAATTGATTCTATTCCATTCATGTGGAAGGTCTTAGCCTCGGTAGTGAGGACATTAATAGACTGGTGATGATAGCCAGGCAGTTGAAATTTTCACAGATAGTTTAGTTTTGTTGCCGCTATAATAACAAATCAACATCATCATCATCATCGGCCCTTTTACGTCCCCACTGCAGGGCTCAGGCCTTCCTTATTTATCGTTAAGGAGGATGGGCCAAGACCCTCCACGCTCCTCCACGCTAGCCCAATGCGGATTGGAGGGTAATAATGACTGCATATGCAGCCGGGACCAACGGCTTGACGTGCCTTCGAAATCACAGAGTAGCCCGAAATAATAATTTTTTGGTCACCCATCCCATGACTGACCCTTGCCAAAGTTGCTTAACGACAACGATCGTGGGCCGCGGCGCTTATCCACTACAACAGAATAATGACACAGGCGGCTCCCAAACGAAAAACATGTTTTTTTTTGCGTTGTAATAGATATGATAATTCGTGTGCAAGTCTGACTTGCACTTTGCCAATTTTTTTATACATTGCTTAGTTCCGTTGATTATCTTCCGCACACAATTACTCACATACTTGCATTTGTATAAATAGTCATGTCAGTTTCTTGGTCTTTCTAAAGACTTACTGTCGCATATAATTTCTTCTTTTTAATAATTATCATGTCCTTTAATTAAAGTATCAATTAAAGTTTCATTCATTTATACATCATTTTACAATTTGCGTAATTAGAATGTGAATTTCCTTTTTTGCTCTTAAAATATATTAATTACGCAGATGTTGAAATAATCTTGTAAACATTTTCGTCTTATGATATTAGCAGCAATAGTTTCATTTAAAATGTTGTTGTCTTTAATATAAAAAAAAAATATATAATATTAGGTCCTTACATATAAAATTGGCGTTTTGTCGTACTGGCCACTTTAATCACAAATTTCTCCTCCTAGGTTGGGAATTCCAAATTCAAATTTATACAGCTATTTACACATATATTTGTGTTTTGTTAGGCGGCATTCATTTGTTTTTTGTCACCCAGTATAAAAAATGGAAAACTTAAATATACGAGTACGAGTTCCACCGTGGTACGTGGTAGTGCTACAGAAACGGCTCGAAGGGTTTATGATGTGTAGGCGGTTGTGTCGTAAAAGAAAACACAGTGCGTTTTGGTTCCAACGTTTTCGTTCTGGAAATTTCGACTTGCAGTACCCTGTGGACGGCCGGAAAAGAGTGAAGGCTATTAATGAAGAATTGAAGGCTATTGTGGGAACGGTTCCATCGCAAATAACGTCAGAGTTAGCTGCAGGCTGCGGTAGTGATAAAACTGTTTTAATCCATTTGAAGCAAATTGGAAAGATAAAAAAGCTTGAAAGGTGGGTACCTCATGAATTGAGTGAAGCAAACCGGCAAACGCGCTCGACTGCTGCGTTACATTACTTAACCGACACAATAATGAAAAGTTTTTAAATCGAATCATTACCTGCGATGAAAAGTGGATTCTCTAATCGAAAATTGACCCCAAAAAAATTACTTGTAAGCGTTTGGTGGACTAGTGCCGGTGTCGTTTATTACAGTTTTCTCAAATCGGGCTAGAAGATTACGGCAGACATCTATTGTCATCAATTGCAAACCATGCTGGAAAAACTAGTTGCTAAACAACCGAGGCTGGTCAATCGCTCTACGCCACTGCTACTTCACGACAACGCTAGACGACACACTGCACAACAGACGGCTACCAAATCAGAAGAGCTTCAATTGGAATGTCTAAGACATCCACCGTACTCCCCGGACCTTGCTCCAACAGATTACTATTTTTTTCGAAATTTGGATAACTTCTTGCAAGGGAAAAAATTCAACTCTGATCGGCAGTGCAAATCGCCTTCAAGATTTTATTGATTCCCGTCCCAATGGGTTTGTTAGTAAGGAGATCAATGAACTACCTATGAGATGGCAAAAGTGCATAGATAACAATGGTTTATACTTTACTACAATGGTTTAAAAAAATATTCGACTTTTTTTTCCTCCCATACCAAACACCAATTTCATATGGAAGGATGTAATAATATCGAGTGTGGTAATCGAATCTTAAAGATAGTCACCGATCAACGATCCCATTAACATCAGTGAACAGAACACAAAAACCAATGTAACGTCGTTTTAAATTCATTATCAATGTGGTATTTAATCGTGTGCCATGTAAAAGCTCTTAACTGATACTACGTTCTACGAAAATCGCGTAGCTACTACGATGCTACGAACCAATCGTCACTGCTATATTTATCTTCGCTAGCGTCTGGCAGTTGCCATTTCCATTGCAAACGCTTACATTAACGTAAAATGAACTTTATTTCCGTTTCACCTAATGTATATTTTATAATATAACCTAATGGAACTTAACTGCAACCTTCACTCCTTCTCACCACGAGAAATTTCTTAAACTCTACCCTCATTAGTATTAAGGTTTTAAATCAAGTGAAGAAAATAGATTTGTATACTCATCCTTTTCTGATGCTCTTTTTCATTATGTGTCATGTAAAGGTGTACAAATTATAAGTAGCTAAATTTGTGTAAATTAGGTTTCTTGTTCTAGTTAATTTTTTGACATATGTGACTTTAAAATGAGAGGGCAAATTGGTTTTCAACTTTGACACGAACGTATATTGACCCCTGGCTCTATACTCTTAAAAAGTTGTGAACTATTATGAGTCAATCTTGTTCTAACCCACATCTCTGTGATATAGTATTTAATAAAATTAAAATGAAGTTCCGAATAAAAGTATAAAATAATATCAACAGATCGTCCGGACTCTGAACTAAAATAAGATGGCAAAAAATATAAGAAAATATTTTTTTACTGAATCACAGCAAGGAATATACATATATGTTATTTCGTTAAGCACAGAACAAAAGTAAGACATTGTAGAATAGCCTAGTTATTGGAATATCCAAGTAAAAAAATCTATTCTGTTAATAAGTTCGTCTCATCTGTGTATCTATGACTATTTTCACCGTCGATTAATAAAGATAATTTTATAGTTGGAGCGTCCGGGTTCAATGATAAATAGCTAAACGATTCGTTCTTGTAGTGAAGTTTTCTCAAATTATAAAAAAAAAACAGGAATGAAACCAACAAATTCTCAGTGACATTTTTTATTATGACTAGAGGTTTTTAAGTTACAAAACAATTGTTACTTCCTTATATAGTACAAAATGAACAAAAACAACAAACTATTAATTACAGTTTGATATGTATTAAAAACGAAAACCTCGATATCGTTCGCATTGTTATATTAAGATAAGTCAAAAGTATTTACATCATTTTTTTATAATAACAAAGAGAACATATTTCATGACGATATTTTATTCAACATTTTTACAATATAGGTAACTTGTTGTCAAAATCTGCATTAACATTCTAGATATTAATTAATTTGTTATAATGACAAATGTAGCATTCGGTAATTGTTTATTTAAGTAATCTATTATTTTACACACTGATAAGATGAAAATAAAATAGGTACATTTTACTTTATAATTTCCCGAATACTAAGGTGGGTGCACCAGAAGCAAACCAATTTAGCAACATTTTGAAACTAATTTTAACGATGTCACTTAATTATTGTAACAACCATTGCAAAAAAAAAACCATTGTACCTTATACCTACCATATAATCATGTAGCTTCATTTTACTTATTATTTTATAAAAAAAAGCATATGGCAAGTTGTTATGTGCCTAATGTGGACCAGGTTGTTGGCATGTATATTGCTTATAGTTTGGATCACATGGTTGATAGAAATGGCGGCAAATGCAAACAAAATAATTAATTAGGTATGAAAATTGAAATAGTGTACTACTTTATTGAAATGGTTCCTGGTGTAGGACTAGCGCATCCACCCTACTGAAATAATAAAACACATTAAAAGGAGTATGAATTCGTGTATTTTTTTAAAATAATTTTCCACTAATTTGATAATAATTTTAAATTGTTTAACTAAATACAGCAAAAAGTAAATAATATGAGCTTGCAAAAGATAAAATGTTTGTTGTTTTATTAAACTTTCTTAGTATCAGGAAAATGTTCGTTTCAATATTTTAATACAGTAACAAGTCCATGACCCATAGTAAAATACATTCTTTCCTCAATCTAAAACCTTTTTTATTCATCTTATTTAACAATCACTATGGTTTTTTTTCCTTTTAAAAATACATTATTGCTACTGCTAGGTCTAAAACTGGCTAACATTAATCAGTGCTGCCAGATAAGAGTCTCTGTTTTACCCAATTAATATTTTAAAATACCCTCTAGCTACTCAATTTGTAATTAGTAGTACTTAATCGGTAACAAAAAACACACCGAATGATTTATTTTTGGAAAATAGAATTTAATAGAATATATTTTATTGCCATACTGTGTTTGTGCATACATAATTTGCAGATGTTATAGCATAATTGGTCACAACAGTATACCCAATCGGATACGTAATTTAAAAATTGGTAATCTAAAAAATGTTAACATAAAAAGAATTGCTAATAAAAAATATTATAGAATTAAAAATAAAACATCACTATATATATATAAATGTAATATTTAGAAAAGGTTTATCTAAGCATCAATATTAAATAAAAATAGGACACCATTCGGGTAATTTACTCAGTAACTGGGGGCACTGATTAAAATCATTGTGTATTTGATAATATAGAACTGATTAATAAAATAATATTTTTGAAAGAAGGTTAATTATTTTAAGAAACAAATTTTGAATAAATGGAATAAGTATAAGTTTCAATAAATAAATCACAATGAAATGGGTTCTGTTTCACTGTTATTCAGGCACACGTAAGTAGGTATTCTAGACCGTGTTTATATAAACTAAGCGTAAATCTAGGAAAGTTATCATTTAAATAGTATACATTTTATTTACAATTGAATGGGGGATGTCAATAAATTAGATATTTTAAAATAAATATGAGATCTTCGTTCCGTTAATCTCACCAGGAGGCGGTTATGGTTATGGTTTTAAATTTATATTTACTGTTTATATAAAGAAACAGAAATAATGGTAAAATATAATTGTGATATAATTTATTAAATAATCTTTAATTAGCTGCAGAGAAATAAGAATAGGTTAACATAGTTTTAAATGAACTATTGGACATTTGCGCACAATACTCGCTTAATAAAAAAATAGATTCTTCATAATGTTTGTGTATTTAAAAAAAAAAATAGTAGACAAAATTTTCTAGAGAACAGACAGTACCTATGCATTGGTCATTTACATTGTTCAATTGAACCCGCATGCGGTGTGCGGGCGATTGGTTCATTGATCAATGATATGAACCTACCGATTTGCCTCTCTGCTACAAATATAGCGTTGAATGTAGCACTGAAAACAGCGCAACAAGTTCAAGAAATAAACAACTTAATTACATTTTCGACTTTATAAACCGAATAGCACTATTGATTCATATAAATTAGTCATTACATTCAATAATCTCTACGTAATGCAAAATTTGTTTTGGAGTATGAATCTTTTTTGGTAAAAAATGTGTTCAACGAAGTGTTGAAGTTAAATCAAAATTTTATGCATAATATTTCCAAGTTTATTATGGAGCATCTTCACTTTGCACTGACAATTAATTATTATTTATTGTACCGATAAAACATTTTTGAATTCACAAATAAACAAAACAGATAGTGTTTCGTATGGAATGCCAACATAATATCTTATTTCTCTGAACTCAGAAATTACCACCATTTGTCTTATGAAAAAATACTTGAAAAGTTTAATTATCATTGTGTATGTAAAAGTTATGTATTTATTATATTAAAAGAAATGTGATACCAAGTGTCCCTAAATCCTTTTTATATTATAAAAATATATTTCTTTGAATATAATAGACCCGCCATCATTAGTAAATTAGTCTGTCACCATTTTTACGCGCCTAAAATGTTTGACGAAAAATGAGAAACGAAAATTAAAAAAAAGTGTTTTATTTTTTATTTCCCGTAAATAAAAACCACTTCGCTAATACAATTTGACTGTATTCGGATTTTTTAAAAGTAACGATAGTTGATCTTACTTGAAATACGTAACTAAATGCGAAAGAATGTTTGTTTATATTTAGTTTTGTTTTTTATAAATAAAACTGACAAAGTTCGATAGTTATTAATGAAACTTGGCACAAATATATACTTTGGATTTATATATACGCTTTAATGATTTTACCTTTTAAAAATTACGATTATGATTCCCAAATTCCCGCAGACAATGTCGCGGGATAGAAACTAGTTTTATAGAAAAACGGTTTTCAATTTAATCAACCGCGCCAATTGAACAATCCTAAAAAGTTTACATAGGTATATTTACATATAATTATGATTTATAATAATTAAACTACACACTTAAAATCTATAATCTTATCTATTTAAATACATCGTAAGCTTATAAAAATTGCACACATCGCTTTGGTATACGTACATACATAACTACATATTTACATAGTCTTAAAAAGAATCGTTAAATCTTTATTGCCCGAAGTTTCATGACGAACCTTTATTTTTTTAAGTGTAGTTATAGGTAATCTCGAACGCGATACGCACCCTTTAAATCGCACAACTTCCTAAACTTTCGACTACAATGACCTTTGTTATTACAACGGTCATCTCAGTCCGAGATTAGAACATTTTAATACAGTCAAAAATATAAGTACTTATCTATTTACAATCCAATTAAGTAGTCTGTTCAATTTACCTATGTTCTGAAATTCAACTATCTTATATTATTTACATAGTAAGTCACTGGCATAACATGTGGTGTGCCCGAATGATTACATCATAAGAAAATAAAAACTTTATGAAACACCATAAGCAAATATCAGTTTTTACACTTGTATAACGGCATTGTTGAATTTCTGTATTGTAATATCAATTTACACAAAACTATCGATATCAGATTATGTACTTTAATTAAGACCTGTCTTCCTAAAAAGTTTGTAAATGTCGATGATTTCAATCGCACCGTCTTGATCAAAAATGTTAGGTCAATTAAGTCGAAAAGTTATTAGTGTTTATGCACGATCACTCAGTCGAACCAGTCCCAAAGATGCCTGTAGAGGCCGGGAGCGTCGCCGGGTGGGCGCGCGGGCGGCGACTAGGAGACGCGCGCGGCGGCGAGCAACGGCGAGCGCGCTTCGTCGCGGGCGCGCGCCTCCTCTCAGAGCACGCGGTCCGCCACACCGACTCCGCCAGCGTACTGGCACGCGGATAAAGGCGCCGATCCAGCGCGAGACACCGGCGATACCGAACCGTATCCTCCACCGAACCCCGAAGAATGCTGCTTAGCTTTCAAACGTAGCTGAGCGATTGACGACGACATCGCCGCACAAGGCTCCGCGCGGTACATACTGTAGGGGTTCGGAGGCGCCGTGTATGGACAAGGTGCCACCCCACCGCCGGCTGAACCACCCACACCGCCCATTCCACCACCACCCACGCCGCCCATAGATGTTGCGGAGTTGAAACAGTTCACCGAACCTTGATGATGACTCGCTGGCACCACCGACCCTAAAGGATTCACTGGCCACGGAAAACTCTTGGTACCCAGCGGACTGGGCACCTTCGCCGCCCAGTTGTTGTAAGGGTATGATGAATATAGCGCATCCGTGTCTGGGAACGGTTGCATTAGTCCGTTGAACTGCGTACTGAAGCCGTTTTTGAAATCGGCAGCGGCGGCCGCTGCTGCGTTCATCGCGTTTCTTTCACGCTTCCGCCATTTCGCTCTTCGGTTTTTAAACCAAACCTGAAACAAGGGAAAAGATTATAGATATTTTTTTAATTAAATAAGGTCTTATTTTATTTATGTATGGGAGCATCGCAATTTCCGATGTTGAATTATTTATGCTTTACTCGTACTCCATTAGGAAGAAACCTAAAAAGCAAATATTACACGAACAGTGTCACCATAACGAAATCTAGTAAGTTTTAACGAGATTCAGAATGGGGACGAGACCTGGGTTGCGTAGCTATTAACTTTACTCATTACAAAGTTGACAGAGCGTCGCGGCGACGGCGGCGTATTCGAGCCACGTAGTGGCCCCGCCCGCAGGCAACGACCCGTCTAATTGCGGCCGTGGAATGAAGATAAACGAGCGTCGCGATTGGGCGGGAGCGGGACGGTCGCAGCGATCGCCGCAATAGATGAGCGGTCGCACAATCGATGCGTTGTTTAGGGCCGCGGCCGAGGCGGCGATAAGTCGCCGTGAGCACAGATAACGCGCGGCGTGATGCATGGCCCGCGTCCGTCACCGCGACGGGATCGATCGCCGCCGCGCGACGACATCTCCGCGATAAATTGCGCAATCCACGTACCGAGTGCAATAAATATTGCGCCGCCACCGGTATTTGTCTCACTCACCGTGGCGGGTTCACCCAGCCGAAACGGTAAATAATACCCTCTTCCCTCGGTTAAGTGAACATAAACGGTCGTTTCCACCCCATATACAATCGTTTATTTTTCGAAACATAAATTTCACAAATTCACATTCGCAACGAAACGCGTGTTTTATGCTCAAGTTGCTGTGGTTTATTTTTCTTTTAAAAGAGATATTAAAAGACACACCATACGAACAATTAAACATCATAATAATACTATCTTAAATACGAACTAATTAGGTATTGAAATACCATATCAATTGAATTAGGATACAAAACATAAAGCATTACCATACGGTGTTTCCCATCGAAACCGCGAACAAACGGGTGAAAATAGCTCCACAGACGTGTTGGGGTGTCCAATAATGACAATGATATTTATTTAGGTGCACATATGTGGAAATAATTTCCATTATTTGAATAGCGACGCGCGGCGGGCGGCCGAGGAGGGTCGCGATATTGCGACGGGCTAATCCTTTAAATATATTATTGCAGGATGGTGACCGCCCGCGCCCTCGCTTGCAAGGAGGGAACATTTTTTAACGCGCGAAATCGATACTAATGTTTGTTGAGCATTCATTTATTCAGCATTACTGGTGTCTAAGGGTTAGAATTTGCTTTATTATTAGAATTTAATTAACTGAAATAAACCCTTCTTATAAAATTAAACCGCATATTATTTTTATTAACCTGTCAATGGTAGCAATGTTACCTACTGTTTGAATAAATGTTACTTTCCCTATTGAAATATAAGCATTTGAAAACGTTTATTCTATTAATCACTTCAAAATTTGGTAAGTTTATTTGGACAACAAATAAAACCCTAAACCTTAATGAATTAAAAATCAATAGCTACTGATTTTCATCTAAGAAACTACTCAATGCATTATTATTATTTTTTTCAACATCATAAACTTTGCCCTGATTCAAAGATGCCCTCTTATTATGGAGTATTTTAGACAGAGAAAGCGCCACAACAACCAAACCGGAGACATATTAAAAAGTCCGTTTACTTAATTGACCCGACCAGTAATCAAACCCCGAATCTCCGAGATTACGACACCTTGAACCATCCGGCTACGGAGGTCTGTAAGAAATTAGCAAAGACAAATACCTATTGATCCTGGCTGGAAATTATTTCTAGGACCTAAGAAATGATGACACCACAAAACCAGTCCATTACAGAGGTCATCCAAAGATTATTTTGTAGAGACTACAGATCATATAATTACATCATGTTTATCCGCACATGAGAACTTATTGTCGGGTCGAATACAAATGGTGGCATTACAGTATCCTCTTGGCGTAATGGTGATATCAAAGACAATGTGTATGGCCACAGAGTAGTTCACGACTGTAATAGGTGTCATTGTAAAGATAAAATCGGACTAATTGAAAGGATTCGTTATACGTGGGCCGAGGCCATATTATTCTATTTAAACTGAACGCTATGACAATATAAATCACTAATGGCTGTTTATTATTTAGTTATAATTATGAGACGATAAATAATTTATTTAAGGAACTCTAATTGACTGTCTGACAGATTACTTTTTCGACTTTCACAAGTGCTTGTAACAGCCTAGACTGAATGAATAATTTTGATTAGCGGCAAACAAGGAAAATTTCTTTTAAGACCGAGAAGTCATGACAAAAATATGCAAAAGTTTTGTAAGCGGAGAATTCACTAGACTAGCATGCCAGGTGGCAAGTCTGCAGACATGCTGGCTCTATAGTAGCGAGGTCCGGCAGGCATGTCTGCAGACTTGTTACCAGTCTAGTTTCTCCGCTTAACGATTGATACTTTGCGGAAGTTAGGTGGTTGAAATATGTTCGCACTGAGTGCTGTCCTCCTTAGAACCTCAACGTTAGTACTGAAGTATCGTGATATAACTCTTGCACATTTTCGTCTCGAGCTCATGTACTGTAAGACAAAAATGATTATTTTTTATGAAATAACTAATAAAAAAAAGTTATTTGTACTAAATAAAATCTTTATGTTAATAAATGTGTGGAGCTCGATGGCGCAGTGAGTAGTGTTTTGCAATGGCCGGAATAGGTGGATGACGAAAATTATTATCTTGAGCTCCTCCGGTTTCTAATGCACGCTTAAGCGTTGGTCTTCACTGCATTTGCAGTCATTAACGCTTATTTACCCGCAATTAGCTAGCAATCGAGTCCTAAACCACTTAGACGAGTATACCTACCTAGAAACCGGTGTGTGAACAACTCAGCTACGGAATCGGAAATTAATATTAATGATACCTCTATCTAATAGGTTGTAAGTGTTTCTTGTGCACCTGGTATAAGATTTTTTTACAATATAATGTAATAAGGTCGCAAGCTCTTTAAATAAAAAGCTATACCCTAAAAATTACTTCATTTAAATTGGCTTTATAGAAAGAAATGTCCTCTGAACAAGATGTTTTTAAAAATGAAAAAATCACATCATATATGTAAGATCAAACACGACTTTAAAAAATTAATAAAATTAGCCCTAAAATACACATTTCTTTTATTTATTCTTGTAATATTCTACTTTATTATAGAAATTAATGTCTTAATTTGTAAGTATGTTGTTTAAAAAAATAGTTTTTAATAAGCGATACGCCATTCTCTACACCTATTTATTTCATTCGTATCGTCTCCTTTTCTGTTTTGTCTTGACGTTCAGCCTTAATGGACTCTGCCATATATTAAGACAAACACCCTTTACATTGTAATGAAACGGTCACCAGACCGCAGGGTTGCTAAATTGCCTTAAATTTAAATTAAATTGGAATCAAAGTTTTATTAATGTCATCAATCAAACTACGCTTCATCTCCGAACGGGTGGCCGCAGTACGTATATACGATAATGGTTCTTATTTGTAGAGAGATTGAAACTAGCTTTGAATGGTAAGGCTTAGGGTAGAGACCATTGCGAAGTCAAATAAACACGCGCTCGTATAAACGGATAGAGCGTATAAACTCTGAATTGACACGTGGCTGAATAAGGGCTGTCGTTTTCTATTCCAATTTTCTTTTGGGATATTTTACCTAATAAATTACAGAATATCAATGTGAGATAAATTCTGTGCAGTTTGAAGCCATTTCAAACAATCAATGAGAAGACATATTTAATAAGTTTAGTCTATGGTTTAATTTATATATTAATCAGTATGTTAATTTTTAAACGTTGTCAATCGTAAATAATTGTTGGCTAGGCTACAATTAAATCAATGTTGACTGTAATTCTGTTACGAAGATGTTTTATAAAAATATAAACAATCAAACTTTTATATTTATATTATTACCAAAACATTGATGACAATAGAAATTAATGCTCAATAGCAGCAAAGACAATAAGCATTTAAAATTACAGTTTAGTAATTCTTGGATTCCCATTTGAAGCACCTAAGATAATTGAATTTTACGAGCCTTTATTAAACCTGCCGTTCAAGTGAGGATGAATCATTTGTAAGCTTTTGACCAAATTTCTACTCCCACAGACCGATTAAATTGAAATTTGTGGATTTGATGACAGTGCAATTATATCTAATCGGTAATTTTGTTAACCCAAAATAACCGTCGCAACAAAAAAATGGCAAATAATAATCATTTTTGTTCAACCCACCAAATATGGGTATCTAGTGAAAAAGTAAAACCTAGAATACAATTCAGCATTTAAAAACTTATTTTATAATTATGTATATATTGTTCTTGTAATTTTGTATAAATCAAATATAAATATAGCATTATAAATGTTATATTATTTAATATACTATTATTTCCTTGACTAGAATTCTCACAGTAGAGACATACAGATTAATAGTATATTTTGATCCAAGTTAATACATTAGTTGATGACCCTGGCATCTGAGGCGAATTATTAAATGCACCCCGCCAAGCGAAGTGGTAGTTTCCTCAATCACACGAGACACATAAGACTAATGGGTAGAACCAAAAGTTTTCGCAAATCCTATTTTAGATTGTACGACTTAAGTATTCCACATAATATGGAACAGAAAAAACGGAATGTTCTATCCAAAACTAAATCTAGCTTGTGTCCCTACAAGTGAAAATGCAGGTTTCTATTATATGTTCGGAAAATATGAACCATTTTAACTTATAAATATTTAATGAAATAAATTTGATGGCACTATTTTGGAAAATATTACGATTTGAAAACTTAGTAGAGAAAATATAAGTACTATAAAAAATGCTACAATATGTATGGCATTGAATTAGTTACATAAAACGTTACAACTTTCATCATAACAGCTATAAACATAAACGCACCAATAACAAAGATATTGCGCAGACGCCCATACGTTTTTCGCTACCGCAACACTGTGTGACGTCATTTAGTGCTTTGAATTTGTAAGG